TGCGAGCCGTGACTCAAGCCTCAGGTATTTGCAATTTGGTCATTGCCGAGTGAAGTGGAGCCTCCTTCCCAGCACTGCAGAGCCGCGAAGCAGCTTCTGAGGCCCTCAATCGAGACGAGCTCGCGATCACTCGCCACCCTCGTGGCATGATGTGGGGCTAAGAGGGGAGCGGGGAAGCCTGTCAGTGCTGATGGGCTCCCAAAACATGTGTTTTGACCCCCAAAGAAAGGTTTTGACTGGGTGTGGAGATGAGGCAGGGGCAGAAGGGCCTGAGTTACCTTTGTAGGGAAGACCAAGTCAAGGAGAAAAAGGCGGCAACACCTCCTGTAGGGTCCAGTGGGCTCCCTATAGGGCTTGAGGTGGGAAGTTTTGGGCGTTTGGGTCTGTCCCTACATGCCATAGTGCGAGGAGAGTGTGGGACAAGTTCCTGCACTTCATTGCATAGGACTTGCTCCTATGATGACCGCACCTGAAGACCACTCAAAGCTGTGCTGGTGCCCAGGTCTGCCCCACTTAAGGGCAGGAGTTTGGTTGAGCTGCCTCAGCCAGGAACTGAGCAGTTTCCTGAGCGAACAGGCAGGGACAGCACCCCAGGAACCGACCAAGCCCTCTGGGGCTGACATCGTCCATTGACTGCAGAGGACGAGAAGGGCTGAACTGGGCCACAGCCACCAAAGCTCTGAAATCCAGCAGGATGAATCCAAGGCTGAGTCCACTGGATGAAGATAGCCATGGTTATTTGCGCTCCATGAGGACGAGTCCTGGTCCCAGATTTTCCAAAATGGTGAAGGTGAAACCTCCCTCAGGCCCATGCGTGAGGGCAGGCCCCAGGTGAGGCTGGGTAGGGCCATTAAGGCTTATTAGCACCCTCAAGGATGATCCTCATTTTCATCATTTCAGGGTCATGCCCTGCTGTATCATGGAGATGACTTTCGCTAGGTACCAGCCACATCTGTTCCCAACAAGCTGATGTAAAGGCATAGTTCTGATTCAGATCACCACATCCAGATATAGAGATACCTACCAGGTGTGATGCAGCCCATGGTTAACAAGCACAGTAGCCAAGAGACTGGATGAAAAACGCACGAAGAAGATGCGTCAACCATGTTATACTATAGAAATATGGTATTAACAGCCACCATCACTTGCCTCCCCATCCCGAGAGCTCCAAACACTTTCTGAGCAAGTGGAGACAATGTCACCTTTGAAAGAGTCAGTCGCCCTTGTTCTTTGACTCTAACACCCCAGTATGGTTTCAAGGTCAGAAGGGAGCTGAGCCCCTCTGGAGCATCCAGATGGGATGATGGGTCTTGTTATCCCCTCACACACATCCCAAGAAGGGACGGTGCTGTTTGGCTTGCTCGCTGGCCACTCTGGAGCAAGAGCGCTTTGCATTGCCTTGGGCCAGTGCACTTCGCTGGCTGTCACCTTTTAATCCCCAGCCTTTGACCTTCCGGCTTTGTGCAGCCACAGAAAAATTCACGTGTTAAGGCAACAAGGAAATGACCCAGAGTCTGATCTCCCTGATCCGTCTTCCCTGACAAGCACGGCTCTCAAGAACGCCTCTCCAGCGATTGATCTCAGACCCGCCAGCCCCCGAGGCCAGTGATGTCCTTAGGTGGCACCAGGCGACCCTGATCCCTCCGCCGGCCACCATGGCTGCCCAGCAAGATCCTACCGAGGCCCTCTGTTTTTTCTGGAAAGCGTCCCCAGAGGTGAATGTAGACTTATGACATCAGGGCTTGTTTATGACCTCATCCTAGCATGACTGTGAGGTCACAGGGAGCCTCTGTGACATGGCAAAGTGGAGCACCAGCAAGTTGATTTCAAAGGAGACATGCATTTTGGAGAGCCAGGGTCATTCCCGGAGGGAAAACATGGCATTCAAAGGGTGCCAGTTCCTTGTGGATGGAACTATTGGGTGCTGGAGCTGCCTGGATGCTGAAAAAAAAAGGTTTGTTCTGCCTTAAATTCCCCATGAGCCAAGGTGCACTATGAGAAAGGAGTTGATCAAACAAGCTCGCTCCTCCATGCCTTGGACCGCTGCTCCATCTAGCGTTGGAAATGTCCCCTTCCAGAGGCAGAGATCGCAGCTGGCAGAGTCCCTGCTCAGATGCACAGGCCAGCCTGAGCATCCTTGGTTGTTTTCGTTTCGTTTTTTTTTTTTTTTTTTTTTTCCTCCCCCCTCCTCTCTCTGTTCCCCTCTGCTTTTCAGAGGTGGTTTGTGGAGCCCCCGCCATCTTTTTGCTGGTACCTCTGTGCCCTATAGAAAGTGCAGAGGACAAAGGAGCATCACAGAAAATGCTCCTTTCTCATGAGAAAGATTTCCATCCCAGAAAAGCAGGCTCAGGAGTCACATCTTATATATCCGTTACTACCCCACCTCCAAATGGAGATGGAGAAGCATCCCTGTGGACCAGAGACCTTTGGAAAAATCTTTTTACTTTAGAAAAGCTACAGACCATAAGAAAACTAATAAAATCACAGATCTCCTACTCTCCATGCCTTGAAGAAGGAGATGTGGATTTAACTGTGGGGCTCATTGAAGGAAGGATTGGGGGCTCAGCCCCGCTGTGCCACCCCCCTGGCAGCCTGGTCATTGCCACCACTTTTGGGTTTGCGGCTCTCACAGGTGTCCCCAGCCGCAAAATAAGGTGGAAATGGCTGGAGACTGAAAGGTTTGTCCATGCCAGGACATGTCATGGGGCAAGTGAGCACTGGGCAGTACCAAGGTGAGCTCTCAGCACCACCTGACCCTTCCTGGTGGAGATGAAGCTGAGGGCAGGAGACCCCTCCATAAGAGTAAGCAGCATTTTGTGGGCTAAGGATTGGGTTGAGCCAGCTCCCCGGCACCCAAGGAGAGCAGATCCATGGGCACACGAAGACTCTGTGTGCACCGTGGAGGGTCATGTCTGCTACAGAAGACTTGGACCTCCATTCTTTGGCAAAAGGGGAAGATGCCAGTACCAAGACATGCCTCTTCACAATGATGGGACTTGATATCTCCTCAGGCAGTTTTGGAAAGTGCCCAGGGCTGAGGTTGCATAGTCTCTCTGCCACAAGCATGGGCAGCAAGTTGGGAGGAGAGGGTGTCCATCAGGACATGGCTGAGCACCACTCAATCCACAGCCAATAGTGCCTGGATGCTGGTGTCTGATAGGGTGGTCTTTGGCTTCAGGCGGTTGGAACCCCCCAAGGGAACATGCTGGTTTTGTCTGAAAAACCTTCCTAAATGTCTGTGGGAAATGCTCGAAACAGGTGGGCCAAGTTGCTCAGCTTCAGATGAGCCATGCAAAGCAACTCATCCCCTTCCTCCAGGAGCTCTAGTGACACGTCCGCACAAGACACTAGAGGAAAGACTTTATAGTGTTTTGTCTGGTGCAGAATTGCAGATGTTCTAGCGTTTCATCCTGGTGCAGGAGAAAGAGGAGAAAGAGTCAAGCTACCAGCTATCAGCACCTTAATTGCTGTGTTTGCACTGGAAACCGAATCTTCCAAAGCACCTTTTATAGTTGATGGAGAGAGACAGACCCTCCAGGGACTACTCTGAGCATTGGCCACTTGTTCATGTGCTATGGAGAAACCCAACACCATGGAGGCCAAGAGCATCTCTGATTCAGCTGCCAAAGACTCGAGCACCCCATTGCCAGCCTCTCTAGTGACGAGTGTGTCAGAGTTGCATGTCTCTAGGATCGCAAGTTTTTTTCCTCCAGCACCAGAGAAAAAGGTGATTTTTCAGGAAAAAAAATGTCTTTTTCCATTTTTTTCCTAATTCATTAAAAACAACCTTTCAAAAAGAAGCTCTCCAGAACAGTAAAATGCCAGAATAAAATGAATCTTTTTCAGCTTAGAAAAAACACGAGTTGCTTCCAGAATGTCTTGACAAAAAAGACTGAGTGTGAAAAGAAATTAATCATCTCCCGTGTAATATAAAAGTGTTATGGTGGAATTATAATTATTTAGACACGTTGGGAGTGATTTTTATTTCAGCTGCCGCTCCCTGACTTGCAGGAGCCAAGTCACCAGCTGCACCCCTTGACTTCTGGCCACTATGTGACAATGAGTCCCGCAAGGTATTGGCACAATGAACAAATTCCTACAGTTTTTATTTGCTTTTTTTTTTTGTCTTTTTTTTTCATTCAGCCAACTGAACAAAGAATCAGCTTAGTGACTTGGGCTGCCAATGGAGAAGTAAGGGATGAAGGCACCACCCGTGGGATTGGGTTGTTATAAGAACAGGCACCTCTGAGCTTGTCCCATGCTCTAGTTCCTCCAAACTCTGTGGCTATAAGTTGGTATCCTGGCTGCTATGACAGAGTGAGGCGCAGTGGTGCTTTGTTTTGATTACATCTTTCAGATATCAATGAAATGATAAGAGTTTATGAACACTAGGACAAATGGGACCAGAGACGTACTAGAATAATTGAGGTGGAAAGGGCTTCAAGAGGTCTCTTGCCTAAAGTAGGGTCAGATATGGGGTCAGACCAGGTTGCTCAGGACTTTAGGTAGTCAGGTCTTAAAAACCTGCAAGGATGGCAAAGGCACAACCTCTCTAGGCAAGTTGGTCAATGCTGGACCAAGTCAACATCTGGGGCTTGGGATGACAGTGAACTCACTTCTGTGAGAGACAACTTGCTCCCAACAGTAACCGAGACTGCTACTAACGTAGCGTGTGGGCTAGTCCTTCCCAAAGCTACCAATCCCAAATTGCTGCTAGCCATAGCCATCCAGCTTCTCAGTCCTACTTTCACTAGTGGCCTCAACAGCCCTTTGGCAGTAGCAATTTCTGTCATCTGATAAGATGACAAATTCCTTTTCCTTACTCTGATTTAGCCTGGGTTTCATATCCCTCGCATGCTATGCTATCTCTAAAACTTCTCTGAGGCATCTTCAGGAAAATGGTCATTGCTAAACACTCACTTTGAGGGCACTGACCTGAGGAGCTCTCAGCCTGTGGTAGGGCTACCATGTCCACAACATGATGGTGGTTTCAGCAGTTTCAGCAGAGCAGCCCTGGGTTAGGCACAACTGAAGTGAAGCCCCTGGAGGCCCAAAAGCATTAGAATGAAACCAGCACAACTTGCATGGTTGAGAGCAGAGTCTCTTCTAGAAGCATCTGCAAAGTCTCAATTTCCTATCTGGAAGCCCCGAGTGGCCTTGTCCTCTGACAGGGATGTATGGGACAGACTAAGAGCACATCACCATGGGGTAACTAGAGAGGAGATGCATTGCCAAGGTGTTTCCTCTCCCCATTGTGCTTTGGCCTCCAACCTCTTGAGAAAGCTTGTTGAGTTCCTGGAGCTCATAACCTGGGAGAAAGAAGAGTTCACCTAGTTCTGTCTATCCCCGCCTTTTACCATCAATACATTTCCAGGTTGCCATCCCCACAGCACTTTTCACTCTTGATTCTGTTAAAAAAGGTGGGTTTTTTTTTTCTTTCCCCAACAAAATGCCCACAGGGCAATGAGAGCCCTTCTCAGACACACTGTTGTCCAGCATGCCTGCAACAGGCGTGAGCGGAGGGAAGCTTTTTCTCTTCCAAAATGCCAGCAGTGCTGCAGCACTCACATCTAGAAGAGCTTCCAGACCAAAGAGGGGGATTTTGTCATCCCTTTTTTTTTTTTTTTTAAGTGAATAAGAGCTTTTGGGCTCCCCAACCCCAAAACGGCTTCTGAATGCCCTGCTGTGGGCACTGTGTTTGGGACAAGGACTCCAGATTGAGGTGATCCAGCTCTTGGGGATGGAAAACAACAGCGCTAGGGTAATTGCACTGCTCTGAAAACTGGAGGTGCATGGATGACATTTCCTTACCAAGTTGTAGAGGCCTGAAAATATATTTTTGTATATTTGTATATAGCAAAATGAATCATGATCCAGGAATGACCAAGATCTCTGCTTTGCACCAATTGGCCATTTTCAAGGTGTGTTTAACCCATAAGAGTTAAAAATCACACAGTCCAAAAATGCCTGGGCAAGCAGAAGCGGCTTTTCCCAAATCTTGTTTTTAAAAGCAAGGATCTTTGGCAAGCTCATATAGGCTCAGGTACCACTACTGACCGGATGAGGCTTTTAGATGCCAACGTTTTAGCATGTCTGAAATGCTCTGCCAACTATGAGAAATAAAATCCAAGGCTTTGGCCCAAGTTGCTACTGCAAAAAAGGAGGAATTGCTCTTTTCTACATCAAGGCTCAGGGAAAGTCCTAGGGAATAGCATGTGGTGGGGCATTCAGGTGGGACCGTCACCTCATCCAGCACCCATAGCACCCTCAACACCAAACCAAGGGCCAGGACAGGCCCCTTTCCAGGGAAATGCACCATCCTGGCTCTATGCTTTATATGGCCTTTGAGCCATGACAAAAGCGCTGACCTTATGTCCAAAAAGGTCCATGGTATAGGCCCAGGATACATATATATTCAGCTCCAGGATGGAGAGTGCAGCCCATTTCTTGGACAAAATGGAGGTCTCTATAAGATTAATGACATATAGGAGACAAGGTCGCTGGGGCATGCAATAACCTCCAGAAACCAGAACTGTCTCCCACTTTCAGCCCCAATGCAAGAGACATAGCTTCCATCAAGTATTCTTTACTACAAATACCAATCCGTGGAAAGAACAAAAATAGGTCTGGAGCGCTGCACTCCATGGAGTCTCCTGTGTCTATTAAGGTCAGTGTAGGTCTTTTCTCCATCTTTCATCTCTCTGGATGAAACTTGGCAAGCATGAAGAAAAAAAAATGCTACTGGAGGAGAAACTGGGTGGAAGATGCCAAGCAGACAGCAATAAGCACATGGGTTTGATTTCTTTAGGAAAGCAGTCTAAATAACCATAATATTTGACTGCGCATATCTTTCCCCTGGAGGTTGGTGGGAAGGGGGATCACACATTGTATGATGTTTAACGAGCTATGGCAGGGCTCTCCAGCTTCCAGTGAAGGACTCAGGAGAGGAGACCTTGGAATTCTACTCCAACAGTGACCATGGGGCACGGGCTGGCCTGGCTGGCATTTTTGCCTGACATTGAGGTTATTTTGGCTGCTCTATCAGGTGAGCGGGGCAAGTGTCCAGTCTCACGTCCCCATCATGAAAGGGGTGGTAGCGAGGAAGAAGACCCTGCAGGATGGGTAGCTCCAAGAGGATGTATGAGAGGTCCAAGCAGCTCTGACCTCATGGTGGTGGTGCAGATAAAAAAAGAAAATATATTCCTGGAAAACAGCACTAGGAACATGCAACCATCAACATATTTGGGGTCAGTTGTCTTTCACTGGATGTATCCCTGGGTTGGCACTGGCTGAGGTCTTCCTTGGATGTCCACTGGGTTGCTTCTGTAGCTCCCAAGAAACTCATGGTAACTAAAGCAAAAGCGACTACAGGCCAAGTGGGAAAGGCTCCACCAAGCCATCAAAACTGGGTTTTGCAGCAATTATTGAGATGTAGTAATGGAGTGTTTCTGGAGAAAAGCCAGAGATGTGGAGTTAGACCTGGCCTTGGTCAACGCAGAAAATACTCCTGCTATGTTCCTCAGTGTGGGGAGATGCCTTAAGGTGAAGACAAACATATTGTTCTTGGAAAGCCATTGGCTATGGGACTCAAACCTTCACTAGCCCAATTGACTCTCCAGCCTTTGACAGTGTCCCAGAACACCTCAGCTCAAAGTCAAGAAACGTCCAGAGGTACCAACCTCGCAGAATGTTCGTCCACCTCCCGTTTCACCTGCCCAACCCAAGATGTCTTCAAAGAACCGAAGATGCCAAGGGTAAAGTGTCAACCTTTTTGGAAAACTTTGTTGCCTTTCATCTGGCTCCAGCTGGCCACTCCAAAAAGAAATAAAATAGTAATAATAATAAAAAAGGAGGCATCCAAAGTAAACAAGGCGCTTGAGCAAAATCCTCCCTGTTGAAAGTGGAGACATTTGGACCAACTACACAGGAGCCTGTGCCTACATGCACAGCAGCGTTGAGTTCTCTTGAAGGAGCAACTAGGGCCGTGGTGGCAAATAAACATCAGCCTCTAGGATGGTGCTGAGAGTGCCCAGGCTCCATCCTTGGCTCCAGCGGCAGCTCCTCGGCACAGGACGGGATGAGCCGCGTGCCCTTCCCGCTCTCAGCGAGCATCAACAAACCACTGGTGTCGGATGGAGCAACGCGAGGCCGGTTAGCGGCGAGGAGACCACACAGGCTACGTTTGGCTCTCCATCACCACTCCACCACGCCGACCTCGCTGGGCTGTTGTGGTTTCTCGCCACGGATGTCTTGGGAAAGCTTGGGAAAGTTTTCCTAGAAACTCTGTCTCCACACGCAGCTGCGCCGGCCCCGCTGGAATGGGAGCATTTCTGTGGTGTGCAGTTTTTAGAAGCTAATTATATCAAGTGCCGATTTTTTTTCCTCTTTTTTTCTTCTTTCCTAAGCTCATTAGTTCATTATTCATGTCTTGTCAACCAAGCTTTAATTTATCTATAGCAAACAGGCAACTTAATACCCCGAAAGCTGATTAGCCCCAGAAATATGGGCCAGATTCTGCACCTTGGCTCATGTTTGGTGAGGAACCTGAAGACCCAGGTACTGATGAGCCCAAGTGAAGGACAGCACCAGCATCTGCCATTGCATCCCCAGGGCTGCTCCTCATGGGCATCCCCAGAATGGGACAACCTCCATCCCAGGGGACACCTCAGCTTCCTTACTTCCCATTTTAGCCTGACTGATAATAATTTGCCCTCTCTGCTTGTCTCTCCAGTAAAAGCAAGAGCGGAGAGGTCCTTTTCCAGCCTGGTTTTGTCCTTCTTCGCATGCCAAGCTATATCATTTAACAGCGCACATTTGATCGCCCAATCTCAGAGTACTTTCCAAACAGATTTTGTCACCTTTAGTCTGGCAACACAATCTGCCTTGTTTTATCTTTTATTTGTTTATTTGTCTCAAGAGCCCAAGATAATTGGAGCTTCGAAGCTCTACCTTAATGCTCCTCCACTGGCCAGCGACTTAATTCTGGGCAGAATAACTCCCTGCTGTCATTGCTCTAAAGCCCCATGACTGTCCAGGGAAACCTTTTCTTTCAGGGACCACCCAGGCATGGGCAGGACAAAGCCCCATGGGCAGGGGACATCACGGACCACGTTGGAGCCTTTGGAATGCTCCAGGGACACCTTTGCACTGCCCAGAGCAGGAGAAAGCTGGTGCATGAGGTTTTTGGTGGGAGAGATCTTCTGTCTGGCTATTATTCAATATCTTATTAAAATCTGGATTGATAAAAGCACCTGCATGCTGGATGCTGTCATCTCAAGAGGGACTCAGACCCTTTTTTCCCCGCCTTTTCTTTTTTCCCCTGGATCAAGTCACTCTCAGATATCAGCTCCCTGACCCACAATAACAGCAGCTGTCTAGAAACTCAAATTAACCTGGCTGGGAACAAAACCATCCCGGAGGAGAGCACAGATGCCCTTAACCCTGGGGAGAGGGAGCCCGGCTCAACGTCTGCTTTGTGCCTTATCTCCAAGTGGGGACGCCCGGGCACCACTGCGATGTCCCCCCGGCTCTGCATTTATAGGGGCAATTTGGGGCCAGATGTATTTGGGGATGCTCTAGTGCAATGGATTTCCCTGGCTCGGGCACAGCCAGGGCTGGGTGGCCACAGCAGCTTTCCAGGGGGAAGCCAGCTCGGTTCATCCCCCATGGCATTTTTCCAGACCTTCCTGCCACTGCAGAATTTGGCCAAAAAGAGCCTCCTAGAGACCAATAAAGCTATAGCTATGGAGGCACACATCACACAGGCTTCCTTGACTTAGGAAACTAAGCTGGGAAAAAAAAAGACACTGAAAAAGCAATAAAATAAAAACTGTGTTCACTAGAAAAAACACACCTGATGAAGAGACAGTCTGAGATGTCAGGGGAGGATGATGCCACCTGGCCCAAGGATGATGCCACCAGGCCCAGTCCTCTCATCCCATCAACTCTACAATATCACACGCTGACAACCCACTTCACCATCAGCCATGCAGAGGTCCCTGAGATCGCCTGATCCTTGTGATTGAAGACCAGGGATTTTAGGGAGCAGTGGAGAGATGCATGCCATAGGCCAGGCTGCTCAACCCCGCTATTAGACACTAGAGAATCCCCAATGGCAAGCCCATGTAGGGAGTAGCTTTCCATTCATAGAAATTAGCTTTTTTTATTTTTTTTTATTTTTGTCCTACAACCTCGGGGAAGACTTTGGTGCAACCCACCCCCAGTTGCAACAGGCAGTGGCATTGAGTTTCGCTGCAGGCGCCTTTGCAGATGGGTCACCGTTGACATTCCCAAACCCATTGCTGCCATCTGCTGCAAGGAGCCTCCTTCCTTTGGAGCCACAGGGAACAACGAAAGGACCGGAGGAGCTGGAGGAAAAGTGCTTTTTGGGGTCACCATTCCCTTGTGTCCGGCCTCAGCGCATGTCCCGTGTGGGCTGCTGCCAGGTGGCCTCCAACGCCGCCTCTGTGCCTCAGTTTACCTGGGATATGGGGTGTCCAGATCAGCACAGGGATGCATTTCACCTTGGATTTCAGTGTCATCTCTGCTTTACAATAGCTGCCGCAATTAAGTTATTAAAGGCTTGTTCTTTTTGATGCACCTAAGCCCCAGGGCTAGCTATTCCTCTCCCCCATGCAGCGATTTTGTGAGCGGGATTTGGGCGGGTAAACGGGCGGGTTGTTTCAGGCTCCTTGCAAATGCCTGCAGCCCCTTTCTTTCCACTATCCCAGCATTGCAATGACAACAAACCCACCCCAGGAGAGTGAGGTGGCCTCAACAGGCTGCTATGACGGTCCCCGCGCTGCGGCCACCCTTGCAAAGCCACATCCTGGACGGAGATCCTCATGGGATTGCTGCCAGGCATTAATGTTTTGTTTCAAATCGGGCTTTTGCTTCCGTTTCAGTTTAGCTATAGGATAAAAATAAATACATAAATGAAGTAAAGAAATGAAACTGTGAGGCTGTGGCACTTCTCACCACACAGGAAGGCTTGTCCTTGCCCTGCAAACAGCATAAGGAACTAAAAAGAAGCAACCATAGACCTCATTAAAAACAGGGGACAAGCCACTGTGTCTAGTTTCCCTGCAGGCACCTGTGAGCATTAGACCTTATGATAGCCCAAAGGTAGAATAAGGGGCTTCCTAAATGACCAGGGAGGAAGTCAAGAGGCTAGTTTCTGGGCGGCAATGATTTGGAGCTGCCAGGAGGACACGCATGAGGGAAAGGCATTTATTTCAGCATGCCTTGGAGCAGCCGATGGAAGGATTCCAAGCCAAGGAAAGTCACTGCTTTAGTTTGTTCCTTGGGAGAAAAAAAAATGAAGAAGAAAAAGGATTTGGGCCTGGATTCCTCCTGGAAGGTATCTAAGGGAGATGCTGAAGTCAGATGTAGTCACCCTCGGCTCCTCCGCAGCACATATTCTCCCAGGGAATGATTCACCCTCAAATGGGTGACGCTCCTGCACATCTCAAGTAACGTGGGAGGGCTCTGGTCACATGCAATGATTACACATGCGTCACGAGACTCCAAAAAGTGGGTCTTCTCTGCTGGTCCCAAGCTGAGTTTCCTGGATAGATTCATCACCTTCAAGCCACCAGCTTGTCTGCAGCTCCCCAGACCCAAGGACAGGACCTCATGGCTGAAAGACCAGTTCTAGGACAGGCAACTTGACCCCTCGGCAAAGGATCAGGTGACCACAATATTTGAGAACTCTCCTGCAGCCGAGCTCAACTTTGGAGCCACTTTGTCCCTCTGCTCCCAAGGGCCAAGGGGCTTTCCACAATAGAACAACGTCTTTATGGCATGAGAAGACTTTCAAGTCCCCTGAAAGATGATCAAATTGGGGTAGATGTCAATCATCAGAGCACATCCCTTCCAGCCTTGCTGTTGGGCCAGGCAGAGCCCAGCATTGCCAGTGTCTCTATAACCCTCTTCTCCCACAGGCATATCCATTTGATGCTAAAAGGCATGGTCTACCCCCAAGAAGAAAAGGGTCTTAGTTCTCTTAGGGAGGAGGGAACTAACTCTAGAAGAACCAGAGAGATCGTAGATTCTAGTTTAATCTAGATTCTAAGCTATTTTGACAGCTAAAGAAATTCCTGTTGTCATGTCCCAAACCCAAGTCTTCTATGCTCAAGCCACTGGCCAACATTCCTACCTATATCAGGGTTAAAAATCTCTAGCAAGAGGCCCATGTAGACCTGACTTTCTTCTCCATATTCATCCAAGTGACCCATCCCAAAGCTTGGCCCAGCTCACGCATGCTGGGCCAAGCTGAGTTAGGGACAACCTTGCGATGGACTCTGCTTGCATCCTCTGGAAAATCAGGCCAGGCAAGTTCATGATGGGAAAAACAGGGAGGGAAATTCTGGCTCAATCCAATCCCCCAGCAATGTTTGCATGGGGCCACATCTTCACCTCTCTGGCCATCACCCAACCCCTCCTGAGTGTGATGTCCGAGAAGGACAAGATGAGACATGCTGAGGAGGTGACACCTCTCTCCCAACTATGGATCACCCTAGAGCAGATACCTTCACTGTTGCCATCCGCAGCACCGGGGCAGCACAGATCTGGGGACAGGGCAGGTAGGGACCAACCCAAGCTCCTCCAGGCCTTGCTCTTGGGAACTACCGCTGTGTAGGGGTTTGTCAGCAACTCCAGCAGCACCTCCAGGCCTTCAGCTCAATCGGGCCATCTGACAAGCACACCCAGGAGGGCATGAGTTCATTAGCAGGTTTGTAATTACAGATTTCACATCTCCAGAGACACGCGGCTCCAGATCCTGGATCGTGGCTGCAGCCAGGTCCAAAGAGATGCTCCGCTCATTCCCAAATGTCCCGCTCACCCCACTCCCATGCCCAACTTACTGCATCATGATGGGAAGAGGTGAACAGTCCATCCCGCAGAGCTAACGTAGCTGCAGGTATCTCTCCCTGCAGAATAAAACAGGGGGGAAAAACACACAAAAAATAAGATGCAGGGGTGTAAGGTTATTTTCTGAGGCTCACTGGAGCAAGCAGCCATACGCTGCGGTCCTCAGCAAAGCGGGCAGCGATTTCAGCCCACACACGGGCAGCTCTGGCATCTGCAGCGTTATCTGCTGGCCCACGTGCAGGCCCAGCTCCCCTCCTGGGGAGCTTGCAAAGGTTACTGAGCTTATTAAAAGCCTGATTCATTATAGTGCCTTTGTAACCGCATCATGGGTTCGGGTTTAA